TATGCCGTGCCATATTATGTAAGCAATGCACTCGCCATCGAGCCAATGATGAACCATGCGAAACAGATTGCAGTAGGTGAAAGCTCGGAGCAGTTATAACAAGAACTATTTTGTTTTTACAAGTGAAATGTATTGTGGACTGATGGGCAATAATATACTTTACTTTGGGCCATTCCGACAAATTTGAATTGTTTTCTGGAGTACTCTTGCCTGTCTTTCTTCAAATGTCAGTGTTTTTTCTGGGCAGACAGAATGGAAAGAAAAGTTGCTGTTGAGATAGAAAGAAATACTGCTTATTGCACTTAATCGTATGTCGGTCTCAAAGCACCTATTACGACGCCACAAATAACAGCTTGTTTTCGCATCACCACTGGTATATATTGTTTTGAAACGCGAATAGCTTTAGCCGTGAAGCTTTGTAATATTTAGAAGCAATAAATCTGAACCAACTGTTAAAAATTACTATCCCTGGCCTAGAAAATTGCGAAAGTTGTTGGGCGTTTAAAAATGAACCTTCTAATTACCGTCTATTGACTATATTTATTTTCTTGTCTGTGCCAAATGAATTACCAAATTATGATATTTTCTGTTGAGATCACTGCTTTTTTTTTAAAAACCAGATTTGAATTAATAAATATTGTTAATAGAGTTATCTGCCATTTTCATTTCCCCCTAAAAATGAAATGTCACCAGAGCAAATGTACAGGCCTTTAATATCGAGACACTTATCTGTAGATTAAAGTTCACATTTCTAGCTCAGTTATTAGTCAACTAAATGTGTTAGGATTGCTGCATCTTTAAAAGTTAAAGCACTGATGTCCCCTTCAATATTAATATGTAAAATGGCACCACCCAAATAACACAGGTACATTGAGCTTTAAAAAGCGAACGTCGAAGCCGTGAAGCTCGGTAACATTTAAAAGCAAGGAAATGAAATCAAAATGCAAGAATTACTATCCCTGACTAATATCAATGCGAAAGATGTTGAGTGTTTATAATTAACCGTTAATGTGATGTTTGTAGTAAATCAATGTGTGAAATGTATTCACCTTGGAGTAAGGTGTTATGTATCTATATACCAACCCGAGTTAATGCTACTGTTCAAAAACACATTTCTGACATGGTGTCCCTTTGTCAGTGGTGCAGCTGTCTAGTCGTTCGGATGGGATGGGTATAGCACACTGTTAATGTGATGTTTGTGGTAAATCATATATTATTTCCCCCACCCTGTTTGAAATTTATTCAAGTTTGAGCTACCTTCCATGTATCTATATATCAGTTCTCGCTATAAGAGTTAAAAAATAGATAACGCAAAGAGAATATGCTGAAAATTTCAGTCAAATTGCTCCACTCTGAATTGAGATATTAGGCCTAACCTTGATCATCATGACTAAAGACGGTACGATAAAATACAAGGTCTCGATTATCAATTTTGACGTTAAATATATTCAAATCCAGTAAATATCGCAGGCTGGCGATGGCCTCGAGAGTTGATTATGTTCTGGACAAGTTAATTAATGTCTAATTAATAATCTAGATAATATTTCAGGCCTAAAGAAAGACCTGCAATAGCACAATGTATCTTTAATGCATGAAATGTTACATTGAATGGGAGCCACAGTGGCTCAGTGAATAGGACATTGACTCGCTAACCTGGAGGTTCCGTGTTCGATCCCTGTGTTGGCCGAGATAGTTCTTTGGGATTTTCCTGCGTGGTTCTTGCTTGTCAGTTGTGTAGGACGGAGGGCCTGGCAAGGCACAATGCATAGTTGTTCTGATGGGACAAAAAACCGAGGACTCATATACATGTTGGTGTGCACATAATACTGCTCTTAAAATGAGAGGAAGCCATAGTTAATCCCCATTCCATTTCATTTTGTTAAATTGATAGCTACTGTTCATGAACAGTTCACTATTTGACATTCATTTGGCCCCTAATTGATCAAGAGACATGAGAATTTTAATCCTAGCCCGGACAATGAATCCACAGAAAGTCTCCAGATTTTAGAGGCCTCCTATTTTTAACAGCAGAGTTACTTCCCTTTGTACATCTGCGGGGGGGTTGGATGGCTGAATGGTTAGCGTGCGCGCGCTGTATCATGAAGTCTGTCATTGAGTCGACTGGCGTGGTTTCGAATCCCCGGTTGTACGTGACAAGGAGTAGGGTCGCCTGTCCAACCTCGTGGGCTTTCTCCGGGTCCTCCGGTTTCCTCCCACTGCTAAAGATCCCTATACGCAAGCGAATTATTGAAATAAAATTAAACCATGTTAGTCCCTGAATGACCTAGTTTGTGTCGAGTGGATGTTAAACCCCATTTCTCTCTCTCTTGTACATCTTCGGGGGGTTCGATGGCTGAATGGTTAGCGTGTGCGCGCTGTATCATAAAGTCTGTCATTGAGTCAACTGTCAAGGAGTAGGGTCGCCTGTCCAACCCCTTGGGCTTTGTCCGGGTCCTCCGGTTTCCTCCCATGGCTAAAGACCCCTACGCTCAAGCGAATTACTGAAATAAACTTAAACCATATGTTAGTCCCGAAATGACCTAGTTTGTGTCGAGTGGACATCCATTTGGCCCCTAATTTGACCTGCACGTTAAAGATCCGTCTACATTATAGAGATCTGTCTACATTATCCCAGTTCAGAGTACAACAGCAGGACCTTATACCCCATTTCATTTCGGATTGATTAAGCATTGAGCAAGTGGTAACACATAACTGAAAGGTAGACTTATATAAACAAAAATGAGTCGTTTATTAAAAACTTTGAACAATTTAAAAAATGAAACATTGGCACGTTTGAAAGTTTATGTGGAAGATTTACCCTCCCCACCCATTATGACGTTGTACAGTCCAGTACACGATTCTTTGTAGCTCGAAACGCGCCTTCTCTTTGCCATGTTCTTTAGCTTCTCCTGCAAATAACTGAAAAATTCGAGCTTGCTTCCAGGTGGCTTGAAACCCTTGTTCCACATTTTGGCCTGCTCCCCGTCCTTTATCAGCCTGAGGACTTGTTCTGAGCGACCTGAAAGATCAAATCAGGGAAAATAATAAATGAAATGACATGATAAGAAATGTGGTTTAACTTCCTACTTTTCTACACAATCCAGGCTCAATTTAGAAATAAAATGACCTATTTTGTAGCTGGTGTTTGGATACACTGTGAACGTGATGTTTGTAGTAAATCATATAGTATTCTAAATTTCAATGCAGGTTTTTCGTAAGTTTTTGTATGTCCATATGTCAAGCGAGCTTATAACTGCCTAGGAGCTGCAATCCAAATGACCAGAAAATGTTTCATGTTAGGCCTGCAGTCTTGCACCACTGCAATGGGGAAACCACTCGACAAGATCCAGCTGAACTTAATCGTCCAAACCGTGTATCGACCACCAGGTAAACGACCCAGCGCCTCTCCACTGAGACACTGTAGCTCACAGACAGTTATAAGCTCAGTTGATATATGGATATACAAAAAAAAAGTTAGTAAAACCTGCTCAAAAATTAGCACACTACATGATTTACTACAAACATCACATTCACTGTGTATCCAAGCCCCAGCTTCAAAATAGGTCATTTTATTTCAAGGTGGAAGCGACTCGAGAAAATCCAGAGGAACTTTATCGGCCAAACCGTGTATCCACTTAAACGGCCAAGCGCCTCTACACTACATGATTTACTACAAACATCACATTCACTGTGTATCCAAGCACCAGCTACAAAATAGGTCATTTTATTTCAATGATTCGCTAGTGCATAGAGGTTCTTAGCCATCGATCGAAACTGGGGGGCCCTGGAAAAAATCCACGAGGTTCGGCAGGTGGATCAAAGCCACACCCCTTGACTTAGTGATATAGCTTACAAACGGCTATATGATATGTATAATTTGATATATCTGCACACGCACAATTAAATGAAAAACAGTAACTTACCTGAGACTTTCTCCATATTTTCTTCCAGCCAGTAATGTATAAAGACCAGTTGACAATACGTCAGTTTTTCGCTGTGTTTTGCAAATTTAACTTGTGTTTCGGCCTTCTGTAATTTTTGTCTGAGTTCAACGTCAGCTACGTCCTTTAAACCTTCGGGAATTGAAAAGTTAGACGGTGGCGATGGTAAGCCGACATCAAACGGGTTCCTTGGTTTTCTTAAATCCCCTTTTGGCGTAGACTGACACACTGGCAACATCTCTTGTTTCATTTCCTCTATAGATTGACGCAGCATACTTATGTCGTTCGAATGAGTGTCTGCTTCATTTTTTATTTCCTGCATTTTTTTCTCCATTTCCTGCGCCGGTTTCTTGTCTTCAGAGCTATCTTTGAGACTAAAATCTTCTTCCATTTCTTTTATCCTCTCAACCGAGTCCTTATACAGGTTTTCTACGTCTTCAAGTCTACGTTCGAAAGTGATTAATTTTTCAATTAGGAATTCCTGGAGGCCTTCTACTTTTTCCATTACCTCTTCCTCCATGTTTAATTCTGAAATGACACCGTTTCGATGACGACCAGTTGTCACGTGACCCGTTTGGCGCGAAATAAAGACAAGATTTGCTATAGGTATACGCTGGGGGGTCCACTTAGGGATATCTATAGCCATACTGAAATGAATGTGATGTTTGTGGAGTTAATTTTTACAATTTTTATTACGCAAGAGAATTAATGCAGGGGAGCTAAAAACATTAAAATATTTTCTTTTAAGTTTCTCAATCGGGTTAGTTTGGAAAGTGCCCTGCGGTGCCCTCGGGCTTCCAAGTTCCAATCACAATTTGTAATGACCGACTACGTTTTTTATCTCTGTCGTGGCATCGTTGATTCATTGGTGGAGGATGCCATGGCAGAGATAGAAATGGATTTAATTTTCCAAGCTGGAAACAGCGACCGTTTACATGAGGTAAGTATAAACCAAGATTGAAGTTCCTGGAATGTTTATTTAGTTAATTTATTATTATTATTATTATTATTATTATCATTTTCTTTTTTATTATTGTATGTTGTGTGTTTGTTTGTTATTTTTAAGATATCCGGTGATCACAGTACTATAGCTGCTGGCGAGAATGAAATTGTTGGTGTTGAAGAGGATGGTGGCGGGAATAACACATCCAACCCACTCTTGAGCACGGATGAGGTGAGTCAGTGGCTTCTCAGGGCCTACTTGATTTGGTCAATTATTCAAAGCTATTCGTGTTCAATCAATTGCTTTATGACATGTTGTCTTTGTCTTACAGGAAGAAACAGATTCATCTGAAAGGAGTTTTGTTTTCCGGAAAAGACCCCCCATTAGTAAGGTACAAAGAATATTCTATACTTTTCGCAATAACTTTTCATATATTTATGAAAAAAAACCCAGTTGTATGACGTCAAATACCATGTCATGCGCTCGTTGGAATTCGGTCTTAAAAGATGCCAAATGTGAACATTCAAGACATAAAATGGGGTTTAACGTCTCACTCTTCTGTACTATTAGTAAAATGTTCCCCGTACGGCGTACTCTAATATCGAATTACAACTGCCAAGGCATTTTTACGTGCACGCCAATGAGTACATTTGATCTCGGTTTTCAATCCCACCCGAACGACTAGACAGCTGTCCTTGCCAGACCAACACCACTTTCAAGTGGGAACCACGTCGGTATCTAACTATTAAACAGTAAATCATTTAATATCTTAACTTTGCAATATCTTTGCATAGATTAGCCATAAAGTCCTGAAATTTCGCAAAGATGTGCTTTTGTAATACTTTCTATCCATTTTCAGGAAACAGAGGAGGATTCTTCCAGCGATAGTTTCGTTTTCCGGAAGACTGCAAAAGTAGACCAATAAAGATAGTTCAAATAATTACATGTATAATTGGTTTATTCTTAATAATTAGAAAATCAAGGACATTGCTAGCAGGAAATGTGTGTTGTGATTGATATTTTTCGGGTTCGTGAAAATGGGTTAGATGGCGCTTCCCGAAACCGCAAATGTTTGGTGTTTGAGTATATTTCGGATTCGGGACTCGCCATCGAACTAATATCCACAAACCTGAAAACCCAGAAAACCAGTACCCACTTATGAACCTGACGCTTTCAGAAACGGACCCGATACTTCTTTTTAAAAAAAAACATACTCAAACACCACAATTTTTGGGGTTAGGGACTCACCATTGAAGCCAAATGCACGAACCCAGAAAATATTAAACCAAACTTAAATACCTCACCCAGAAAATCGGTACCCATTTACGAACCTGACCCTTTCCGAACCGTACCCGATACTTTTTCAAGAAACATTCTCAATCATCAAACGTTTTTGAGGTCGGGACTCGCCATCGAACCCAAATGCACGAACCCGAAAAATATTAACCCAAACCTAAATACCTCGCCCAGAAAACCGGGACCCATTTATGAATCTGGCCCTTTCCGAACCGTACCCGATACTTTTTCAAGAAACAGTGTCAATCACCAACCTTTTTCGGGGTCGGGACTCGCCATCGAACCCAAATGCACGAACCCGAAAAATATTAACCCAAACCTAAATACCTCGCCCAGAAAACCGGGACCCATTTATAAACCCGACCTTTTCAAAAACCGAGCATAAACCTTTTTAAGGAACGTTCTCAAACACCAACTTTTTCGGGTTCGGGACTCGCCATCGAATCCACATGCACGAACCCGAAAAATATTAACCCAAACCTAAATACCTTACCGAAAAGAACGGTACTCATTTATGAACCTGACCCTTACAGAAACCTACCCAATACTTTTTTCAAGAAACATTCTCAAACATCAAACTGTTTCGGGTTCGGGACTCTGCACTGAACCCAGATTAAAAAACCCGGAAAATACTAAACCAAACCTAAATACCTCAACCAGAAAATCTGCACCCATTTATGAACCTGCCCCTTTCCGAATCCAACCCTGTACTTTTTCCAGAAACATTCTCAAACATCAAACTTTTTCGGGTTCGGGGCTCACCATCGAACCCAAATGCACGAACCCGAAAAATATTAACCCAAAGCTAAATACCTTACTCAGAAAAGCCGGTACCCATTTATGAACATGGCCCTTTCCGAACCGTACCCGATACTTTTTCAAAAAAACAGTGTCAATCACCAACCTTTTTCGGGGTCGGGACTCGCCATCGAACCCAAATGCACGAACCCGAAAAACATTAAACCAAACTTAAGTACCGTACTCAGAAAATCGATACCCAAATATGAACCTGACCCTTTCAGAACCTGGCCCATTACTTTTTCGAGAAACATTCTCAAACACCAAACTTTTTCGGGTTCGGGACTCGCCAGCGAACCCAGATTCACGAACTCGAAAAATATTATCCCCAAACTAAATACCTTAGTCAAAAATCCGGTACCCGTTTCTGAGCCTGATCCTTTCAGAAACCTGCCCTATACTTTTTTCAAGAAACATTCTCAAACATCAAACTGTTTCAGGTTCGGGACTCGCGATTGAACCCAGCTTCACGAACCCGGAAAATATTAACCATAACCTAAATACCTCAACCAGAAAATCTGCACCCATTTATGAACCTGCCCCTTTCCGAATCCAACCCTGTACTTTTTCCAAAAACATTCTCAAACATCAAACTTTTTCGGGTTCGGGGCTCACCATCGAACCCAGATTCACGAACCCGAAAAACATTAACTCATACCTAAATACCTTACTCATGAAAAGCGTTACGCATTTCAGAACCTGACCCTGTACTTTTTCAAGAAACATTCTCAAAACACCAAACTTTTTCGGGTTTGGGACTCGCCATCGAACCCAGCTTCACGAACCCGAAAAACATTAACCCAAACCTAAATACCTTACTCAGAAAATCGGTACCCAATTATGAACCTGACGATTTCAGAAACCTACCCTATACTTTTTCAAGAAACATTCTCAAACATCAAACTGTTTCGGGTTTTTGACTCGCCATTGAACCCAGATTCACGAACCCGAAAAGAATTAACCCCAACCTAAATACCTTAGTCAAAAATCCGGTACCCGTTTCTGAAGATGACGATTTCAGAAATCTACCCTATACTTTTTCAAGAAACATTCTCAAACATCAAACTGTTTCGGGTTCTGGACTCGCCATTGAACCCAGCTTCACGAACCCGGGAAATATTAACCCAAACCTAAATACCTCAACCAGAAAATCGGGACTTGACCCTTCCAGAATGGTACCGGATACTTTTTATAAGAAACATTCCCAAACTCCAAAACTTTGTCGGGTTCGGAACTTACCATGGAGTTACAGCGTTATATTTTAAGCGCTATTATGTTAATAGAAGAAGCTAAAAGGATGGCCGCCATCTTTGTAACCTTCAGTTTCTTGCAAAAAAAAAGAGAAAGAAAAGAAAAATAATTCAAGGTCATCCGAGGCCATTAACCTCCTTTAAACGTGACTTTATGTCACATTAGGTTCGTGCATATGATGCCTTAGGCCATGTGGGACTTATGCCCTATATATAGTATGTCATAATTTCGACTAAGTACTAATGGTAATTTATTTATTTATTTATTTTTTTTTTTTTTTTTTTTTGTAAATTGAAACCTCAAATTTCTTTGAAGCGAAGGAGAATTCCCGAGGCGATATCCTAAATAAAAAGTCCGCCCAGTCCACCCTAAGATGTTGTTGCCACAACATAGACAAGCCAATCAAAATAGTAGTGGCCAGAAAAATGTCAATGTGTTGTCTTGGCAGAAAGAATTGGATAAGAATAGTCCCTGTTGAAATTGAAAAAGGAACTTTTGATTTTCAGTAGTCTGTCAGCTTGTGACCCAGAAAGGCTAACAAAAAAAAATTATCCGAGGCCATGCAACCTGTTTTTATGTCACATTAGGTTCTGGGACATGTGGAACTTAATCCCTATATAAATTACAACAAAATAGTTGTGCAGAAGCCAATGAAATAACGGCAGTGGCCAGTAAAATGACAGTGTGTTTTCTTGGCTGATAGAACTAAGGAATAGTCCCTGTTGGGATCGGAAAAAAAAGAAATATTGGATTTTCACAAAAAATGCAGAAATTAGGTATAGGTATAGCCTATAGTATACGTCCTTGGGGTTGGTAGAATTTAGGAAAACGATTCGAACTTGTTCAGGGTTAGGGTTGGGTAATGGGGCTAGGGTTAGGGGCTAGGGGCTGGGGTTAGGGGCTAGGGTTAGGGGTTAGGGGCTAGGGTTAGGGCGAAAAGGGTCCAAGTTCATATGGTCGAAAATGCATTTTTTTTTTACGGAATTAGGCTTCTGATCTACGTTTAGCCATTGTCGAATTGTATTAGAATTTAGAACTTGGGGGTCAACGGGAAATCGGCTTTTGTTCTTGAAAAATAGTTACAAATGCCCAAAGATGAATAATTTGAGTTTTAAGATGATAAGATTGTTTTGGTCATTGACCATTTTAATGCAAAATGCCAGCCAGGCATTTCTATTCGTCGTCTGTCTCACTACAAATAACAGGGTTTTTCGCATTGACCAAAGGTATATTTTGTTTTGAAAAGCGAACGGCGATAGCCGTGAAGCTCTGTAATATTTAAAAGCAATGGATCCGAAGTAAATGGTGAAAATTACTATCCCTGGCCAATATTAATGCGAAAGTTGTTGTGTGTTTATAAATAACATTTTGATTAAAACCTGGAAAGTGTATTTTATGACTACATACAGTGGCTTGCAGGGTCAGTGTTTTATCGGAGAAGATCTGTTGTCTTTGTGAAATTAAAAATAAATGGAGGAATTTAGGGACAGGGTTGGTGTTACCCCTGATCTTGCGAGAAATAAAGCAGATAACCCGAAGCCACCCTATGTGACCATCCCCGGTATCCCTATTATTTGGTCTTTTGGGAAAGGGGTTAGGGGATAATTACTACTTTCCGCCTCGCCCGGATTGATGAATTTCATGCAAAATCCCACATTCCTATTCGTTCATTGTCGAAAAATGATTCTTTCTCCGTTTCTTATAAGGAAGCAAATAGCCATACTTAATTTCTGATGGTAGAAACTTTTTTTTTTTTTAAAAAAATAAGATAATAAATGTAAATTGTAGAAAATCATTAAGAATATTAGTCTATTTTGGTTGAGGGGGCATTTCTACCGATTTTGTTTTTTAAATTAGGTACTTACAATGTCAGTGTTTATGTTTGTTCCGTAAAATCGCGCTTCTCCGTCGAACATGAAACACCGGATGTCCCCGCGAAATAATCCATTACGCTTTGGACTCGTTACAATATGAATAAAAACTGTCACCAGATTTTTTTGGTTTTGATATTTTTTTTTATATGTATGTTATATGTTATAAAACCACTCTTCATGTAAAATTGTACATATCGCAATGTATTTTATAACGCGTGAATATGAATTCCCGTATATATTTGCCTTAAAATTGGCGACGTTTACTTTCTACAAATAGTTTTTGCATAATTTATGGAGTACATGTAGGCCTATGGCTTGCAATGTATGTGTATGTATTTGAGCCGAGAAGTTCACTTGTTATTTTGAAAAATCGAGAGAGTGGAAAGGCGCCCGGCCAGCTAGATCAACCGCTTCGCACTGCACTTGTAACAATTAAGCACTAAAAAACTCTTTATTCTCACCCCATTAAACAGATAATAAGTAACGTTTGTTAGTCTCAAAATAACGTAAACATCGAGAAAGTGTTGGGAAATATTTGTCTTATTAAAACGGAGCGAGAGAGAGAAAAAGAGAGAGAGATAGAGAGAGAGAGTGTGTGTGTTTCTTGTCCACTCAACTAAAAGTAGGACATTTCCGGACAAACATACAAGATGATTTCAATAATTATCGAAAGGCAACTAGAGGAGACGGAGAAAACCAACGAAAAAGGCTATCCGACTTTA